TAATAAATAAAAATAAATAAATATTTAAAAAAAATTAAAACAAAGGAAAACAGAACAAACCCTTTAAATAGGTTACTACCATTATAAAGACATACGAGGCTGGCAAGATAGCTTAGGGGACTAAACGCCTGCTTAGGCAAGTGCAGGGACCAGGATTCAATCCCTAGCACCATGCGCCATGCTGGCTCCACCCCCAGCACACTGAGCTGGCCACCAAGTCTGGGTGTGGTGGCACACACCTGTAATCCCAGCACTGGGGAGGCTAAAACAGGATGATGACTAAGACTGTGAGTGTAAGCTTTAGGAGTGAGACCCTGTACCAAATACATTTTTAAAAGGGGTGGGGAAAAATAAATAAATAAAAATAGAAATAAATAAAAAATTTTAAAAAGGGGTGGGGGCTCTGCCAGGTAGCTCAGTTGTTTAAACTGCCCCTTGGGCAAATTCAGCCAGGGGCATAATATGGCGGTTCAAATCCCAGTTCCAGAAGCTGCACCAGATCTGCCCTTAAGGCACCCGGAAGGCACTCGGAAAAAAAAAAAGAAACCCTCAAGTTTTTTGGTTTTTTTTTTTTTAAAGACATACAGGAGGGGGCCGGGGAGATGGCTCAATGGAATAAGTGTTTCCCTGGCAAGTGCAAGGGTCTGAGTTCAATTCCTGGTTCCACCAAAAAAAAAAAGACATACAAAGTTTGTTTGTTACCTAAACTTGAGGTAGTCAGATGCCAATTATCCTCAAAAGACTAGACAGGCTATGGGGGCAGGTGAGTTAATCCCATTTATTTATGTATATATGTATGTATTTGGTATAGGATCTTAGTAGTAGCTCACACTCTAATCCTGTTTCAGCTTCCCCAGCCCTGGGATTACAGGCGTGTACCACCCTGCCTGGAATTGGTGGCCAGCTCAGCACGGGCAGGGGCAGGGCTGGCACAGCATGCGGTGCCAGGGATTGAACCCCAGCTCCTGGGCTCGCCTAAGCAGCACTTAGTCCACTGAGCAAACTCCCCAGCCCATTAATCCTGTTTATTGATAAAGGACCCTACCACAGCCCAAAACCTTTGAGACAAAAGATCATGCATCTGTGCCCCATTCCCCTGTGGCTGCTGCTGGCACTGAACCCAGGCCTCATGCATCCTGGGCCAGAGCTCTGTCACGGAGCTATGTTCCTAATCTTTTTTTTGAGACAAGGTCTCACTATGTGGTTAAGTCTAGCTTTGTAGACTAGTAGTACCTAGTAGTGTAGCTACTCACTATGTAGCCCGAGATGGGCTTGAACTTTTTTTTTTTTTTTTTCGGAACTGGGGATTGAACTCAGGCCCTTGCACTTGCCAGGCAAGGACTTATTCTACTGCGCCATCTTCCCGGCCCCTGGCCTTGAACTTTGTAGTCTCCCACTGCAAGAGTCACAGGTGCCTAGCCTTTTTTTAAAAAAAAAAAAAAAAAGAAATTTTTTTTTGGTGGAAATGGGATTGAACTCAGACCCTTGCGCTCACCAGGCAAGTGCTTATTCTACTGAGGTATCTCCCTGGCCTAGCCTTTTTTTTTTTAGAAAGAGAGAAATCTTACTAAACTGTCAAGTCTGGCCTTGAATTTGCAAGCCCTTCTGCATCGGTCTCCTATGTGACTGCGATTATAGGCGTGCACAATCATACTCCTGCCCTTCTTATTTTCGGTGCCAGGGATGGAGCCTGGGGCCTTGCACAGGCCAGGCTCTGCCACTGAGCAACATCCACAGCTCTCCCATAGTGTCTTATTATTTGCATGGCTGCAACATGCATGTATTTCGGGGCTGGAGAGATGGCTCAGTGGTCTAAAGCACCTACTTAGAACAAGCTTAGCAAAGCACGAGGACCGCAGTTCAATCCCCCCGCACCACATGCCAGCCAGCCCGCCCCCTGGTGGGCTGAGCTGGCCACACACACATAAATAAATAAAATTTAAAAAACAAAACAAAACAAAACAAAAAACCATGCATGTATTTCATGTGCCAGAGTATTTTTAGATAGCATTTAAGGCTGTGCTCTGTGTTTATCCATGGTCAGAGGCAGTGAAAGGGAACCATCCTCAAATCCACTCACCTTCAGCATAATGTCTAAGGTCGTCCCATCACCATGCTTCAGAACAGTCAGATAAACCTACAAGCAAACAGAGGAACAAAAGAAGTAGTGACATGGCTCAAATGTGATACGACTCAAACATCCTACTAAGAGGCCAGGGAGATGGCTCAGTGGAATAAGCACTTCCCTGGTAAGCGCAAGGGCCTGAGTTCAATCCCTGGTTCTGAAGGAAAAACCCCCACCCTACTACAAGGGAAAACCGTGATGAGCTTTGTGTGCACGTATGGTAACACAGACTCCAGTAAGGAGCCCGAGCCCACAGATACCTGGAGGTGGAGAGACACTGTGACAGGGCGATGTCTCACCACAGAGCGCAGTGCTCAGGTGCAGCCAGACTCGGTTTGGGGGCTATTTTGGTTGCTATTAAAGGTGTTTTGTTTTCAGAATGCGGCAGGCACCCAGAAGTCAAGGAACCAATCACCCATACTTACAGGGCTCCTCAGGTCAGCAGAGAGGGCTTGTTTTCCTTCCACATGGTCCTTAAACCGCCGACGAGCTTCTTCTAATGTCGCTTTATGTCCTGCTTTTCCTAGTTTCCCCAGAACCAAGCCCCTTAGGAGTGCATCCAGATGACCTGTCCAAGAAGGAGAAGACACATGACTACTTAAAATGTGTGGTTAAAAATGTACCACTTGAAATTTTCTAGTTTTGTGAGACAGAACCTTACTCTCTAATTCAGGCTGACCCTGAACTCACTTTGTATTGCAATCTTCCTGCCTCAGTTTCCCGAGGGCTGGGCAGTCAGGTACATACCACCACAACTGGCCTGAATATTTTATACTTGTGTTATATCAAATCTAGAACCTTAAACGGACACAATATACAAATGCTTGAGAGAAACTTGATTTACCAAGTCCTAAGAGGGAAAGGGAATACTAGACAGACAAGCAAACGAACAGTCCACTGCATGATCATCACAAATGAGAACTCCCTCCAGGTTTGGTGGTGCAAGCCTGTCATCTCAGCTCTTGGGAGGCTGAGGTAGGAGGATCACGGTGAATTAGAGGCAAGCTTAAACTATACAGAGTTCTGTGTTTCAAAACTCCAAACTGGCAGGCGTGGTGGCACAGGACTGTAATCCCAGCCCTCAGGCAGCTGAGGAAGGAGGATTACTTAGAATCTGAGGCCAGACTGTATTACATAGTGAAACAAACAAAAAAGCAAAATTCAAAATCTAAACTCTTCAAATTCACTATGCTGCTACTCAGGCCAGTTAATCACATCATTAAAGATTATGTGTAAAAAAAAAAAAAAGATTATGTGAGAAGCTCACATCACGCAGAGTTGACTCAAAGTTCAGCAACCCATATATGGGCCTAAGTATATATATATATATAAGACACTCACTATCACTGTCATTAGGGAAACACAAACGCAAACCCCATGAGACACCTCTTCATACCCGCTGGGACTCTGTGATCAGGACAGGGACAGTGCTGGTAGACACACAGAGAAGCTGAAGCCCTCCGGCTCTGTGGGCAGGAGTGTAAAGTGGTGAGGTCACTCAGAAGTGTGGTTTAGTAGCTCCTCCTCGGGCTAGACATGAGGTTATCATATGATCTAGCAATTTCACTCTTATTTACCCAGGAGAAATGAAAGCATATGTTGTACAAAAAACCTGGACACAAATGTTCCAAACAGAATTCACTGTGGCCAAAAAGTGGAACCAACCCAAATGGCCATCAACTGACGAAGGAAACGTGCTACGCTGTGTCCGCGCCATGAATTGCTATTCTGCCCTCCAAGGAGTGAAATACTAACATGAGCAGCAACATGGGTGAATGCAGAAGCACTGTGGCAAAATGAAAGAAGCCAGGCACATAAAGACAATGCTTGACTCTACACATGAGATGAGCCAGCCAAGGGACACAGGACCCAGGGTCTCACCGAGGGTGAGCGGGCACACAGCTTCTTTGGGAGTAAAGAAACTGCACTAAAATTAGATGGTGATTGGGCTGGTGAGATGGCTCAGTGGTCTAAAGCACCTACTTAGAACAAGCTTAGCAAAGCACAGGGACCGCGGTTCAATCCTCCAGCACCACATGCCAGCCAGCCCCGCCCCCTGGTGGGCTGAGCTGCCCCCCCCCCGCTAAATAAATAAAATAAACTTAAAAAAAAAAAGATGTGGTATTTAAAATAAATACATAAATAAAATAAAATTAGATGGTGGTGATGATGGCACAGCTTTATGAGCACATTAAAAAGCACTCAATTGTGTACTTTAAAAGATGAAGCTGGGCCGAGCATAGCGCACACCTGTAATTCTTTGTGAGCTCAAGATCAGCCTGGGTTACATAGGGAGACACTGTCTCAAAAATATCAAAGAAAACCAGATGAAGCTGGGCATAATGGTGCATGTCTGTAATCTCAATACTAAGGCAGAAAGATTGTCATGCATTGTCCAGCCTAGGTTACACAGTGAGTTCAAGGCCAGCCTGCACTAGGTATCTAAACCCTGTCTCCAAAAAAAAAAAAACAAGAAAAAGAAGAAAAAGAAAAAGAAAGAAAGAATGAATGAATGAATGAATTATATGGTATGTAAATATTGTCTTGGCAGAGACCGGGAGAAATCCTGAACCACTCAGGAGGGCTACAGTGCTAGTGGACCCCAACAGTATAACAAAGAGATAATACTGTCCACAAGAGGAGTCAGGACAGTGTTTGCCTGGAGAGGGGTACACACAAGTGGCAGAGACAGATGGGGGAGGGCAGATTTCTGGGGACCGAGAGACTATATATTTGTCAAAAGTCACTGAACTGGAATGCTAAAATTATACATTTAAATTATGACTCAGTAAAAAGTTTAGGAAGACTTACTTGAAAAGCAACAGATCTGTAGACACTGTTGTGACAGTTATCGTAAAGCAGTTTATAATAATTCTTGTGGTTGTTGGGTTTTCGCAGTACTATGGATGAACCCGTGGCCTTAAACTGTGTTACATCCCCAGATCTTTTCTGTTTTTCATTCCAAGGCAGAAGACCGCTAGGTTGCTAAAGTACCCAGGCTGGGCTTTTGCATGCAGTCTTCCTGCCTCAGCCTCCCAGAATGCAAGAATGATAACTATGTGCCACTATGCCCCGCTGTGACTGGGGCCAACTTGAATGTGCGATGTACCAAGTGTCTCCCTGTTTATTCCCTCACCTGCACAGCTGTGATCCTACAGCCCTCCTTGGTGGTCATTTTTTAGTTCTAAAGGTTTTACGCATTCTCATCACACAAGAGCAGTTTAACACCACAACTTCCTGCACCGGGTCCCTCCGGTCCTGCCCCTGTGGGCCCGCAGTCCAGTGCGAAGCCGCTCACACCCCCACGTGCGCCCTGGACACCAACCCACTTGCTCACAGGCCTGTCACTCTAGCAATGCCTCTGCTCTTCTCTCACACAACAAACACACTCTTCAAAAAACCCGCATAATTTCTTTCTTTCTTTCTTTCTTTCTTTCTTTCTTTCTTTCTTTCTTTCTTTCTTTTTTTTTTTTTTTGAGACAGGGTCTCTCTATGTAGCTCAGGCTGGCTTTGAGCTCACTTTGTAACCAAGGTTGGTCTGGAAATCACAACGATCGATTGTCCTGCGTCTGCCTCCTAAGTGCTGGGATGACAGGTGTGTACCACCATGCCCGGCTAAAATGCATAATTTCTACTGGAGAAAAATGGTGTAAAATCTTCCAATTTAGATAGCTGGGCATGGTGTTGCATGTCTATAATCCCAGCACTCAGGGAGGCTGAGGCAGGAGGATTCCAAGTTTTGAGCCCAGCATGGCTGACGTAATTGACTTAGACCATGTCCCAAAATAAAAACTGAAAAAGGAGTAGGGAAGTGGCATAGCATGAAGACCTTGGGTTGAAACCCCAGTACTAAACAAACAGACAACAAAAACTCTTCAAAAAAGAATTTTGTTTGAGACAGGGTCTTGCTATGCGTCCTGTGGAGGAATTTTGTTTGAGACAGGGTCTTGCTATGCATCCTGTGGAGGACCACCTGAGCAGCTCTCCTTGAAAGAAGAGCGACTGTCTCCATTTTGACTGAGCCTGACCCTATTTTCTCATATTGTTCTGTACAGAGCTGGCTAGGACTTCTGTTTATCAGTTGGCCTTAGGTAAATGTGGGCCACCCACCTAGCTCAGCTCACAATGATCCCCTACTTCCCACAACTCTCAGTCAATCCTCCTCAAGCCACTCCCCCACTGAATAAAAACCGGGTGAGGCCCTGGGTTGCTCTCTTGGTTCAGATAGCCATCTTCGTGGCTTGACTTAGAGCCCCTTGACTCCCCAATGACTGAAATTATAATTTAGTGTCTTTATTTTCGCCGTGGATTGCATTGAAAGTGATAGATTGGAATCAATTTGATGGGATTCCAATAATGTAACTTTGGGATTACAAATATTGGCTTCTTGGACCGAGATGAGGATCTGGAAGTGTCTCCTACAGCATCCACGCTGGGGTTGAACTCAGGGCGATCCTCAGCTTCCCCGAGCCCTGGGACCACCAGCATATGCCATCATGCCCAGCAAAACTTTCCAATCTAAAAAAAATTCCTTCCTTGATCCCTCAGGTTAATCTCTCTTTCTTTTAGTAAAATTCCTTTGAAAAGCTGTCTAAATCTGCATTTCCTCTTCTCCACCGCGGAAAGCGCCCCAGCTCCCCACTACTCCACGGAACCTGTGAACCACAATCATCAGCCCTCCCTCCTTTCGGTGACTCAGAGCAGCTGACATCTGTGATGGGTGACTTCCCCTCAACTACTGTCTCCCTAAGTTCTGGGACCCCTCTCTCCTTATTCTCTTCTTCACTCACTCCCCAGCCTTCTTCCTGATTCTTCTTGTTTGTGTCTATCTCTAAATCTGGGGACCTGGATTTTAGAACTGGCTTACACCGCACCCCCAGGGCAGGGAGGCGGAGCCTTCTACAGCTTCCAGTGCCAACAGTGGCAGGCACGCAAGGGCTCCCCACAGTCTCACGTCAGTGACTCCAAATGTACAGCACGCCTGACCTGAGGCACTGTCTGCCTGGATGTCTAAAGTGACAAACTACTGTACACCAAACAAAATTCGATTGCCTTGCACCCAAAGGCGCTCCACGGCAGTCTCCGATGACATCTCGCCATCACACAGACTCACTCAGTCTGGCATCAAACAGCTCTGCCTTCAACTACAAACAAAACTCACTGCCTATCAGTGCTGGCACGGACAGCGCTGCAGGCGGGTTATGGAGGAAAGCCTGAAGAGTCGACTCAAGTCTACTCTTCGACAGTCAAGTAAATCAAATCAGGTCCCTTTGCCCAGAACCCTAAGACAGAATCTCCCACTACTAAATGTGAAGGGAAGATGCTGCTGGTCACCTCTACACGTCCTACAGGCCCATCTTCCCACACGCCCCTCCTCATTCGCTCTTTCCGAACGTAACAGCCCTGCCCTTCACAACTTCTACTCCCAGCTGCACCCCTTCCCGGAGACAGTCTTACACCCCACTTCAGCTCTCCACCTCTGCTCAACGGTCGCCTCCTCTGCAACGGCGGCCCCATCCGCTCCCCTCAAACAGTGGCCTTAGCCTCATTACCTCAGGTGGCTTTATTTCTCTTTGTGACTCCTGCTGCCGCCAGCGCATGATATATTTAACCTCTTGCTGGGTCTCCCGCTAGAACGCTTGGCCTCCTGTGCACTGCCGGCTTCTACAACAGCACTTGGTATTTACTAGCACCATAAATAAATACTTGTAGGATGAATGAAGAAAAGACACAGGGTGGTGGCCACTGCTATTCTTATTTCAGAAGATGCCCGCATTAAGAGTTGTCAGGAGAAGGTGCCACCTTTAGTTATCAGCAGACAGCAAAAATAATTGTACCGAAAGCCTTCAAATTACCATTCTCAACATTTAAATCACATCAAAAAGAGTAAACACATAATTATAGGAATAACTGGAGAAAACACACGTAGAAAGCAAATAACTTCCTTCATGTAGTTAGCTGCCGAGTCTCTTATCACTTCACAAGATGCTCGGTATTTGTGGTGACACAAACAGAAGTGCATGCTGCAGATGGTAATTTGCAATAGTGGTTTCATGTTGGGAGTGCCTGTCATTGTGGTATTCTGAATATGGGCGGCTTGTCATGACAAGCCAGTTACTGCTAAGATGTCTCTCGGGTAGATGGATGTTCAAGAAGAAGGGGGTGGTGAATGAAAGCAAGAGACAGGAAAAGGAATACTGTGGGACTGTCCTGCTTCAAGGTTGTATATGGTGAGATTTTTGGACTTATGTGCGAACATGAGAAGCATAGAATTCTTTATCCTATTTTTAAAATATAAACTAATTTTTAAATGTTTTTTATCATATTATGTAGGGACTTAAAGTTCAACATATCAATACTTGATGAAAAATACCTGTTCCTTATTATGCCTAAGATGTTCGAAATGCAGTGAGATAGTGAGGTTAAGCTTGATAGCCTAAATCATTTGATAATAACAATAAGCTTCTCTTCTGGATGGTTAACAACCTAAGTTTGCAGATCAAAATTAGAGAAAAAGGAGGGCTACAAGGAAAGCCAACATTTTGGCCCTAGCCTTCTAAGGTCAGTTAAGACTCAGGACATATGAGAACTTGTACTGTATCGTCATGTACCTCGGTAGTGTCCCAAATTTTCTGATCAAGAAGATTATGGGGCCAAAGAGGAAAGTGATCGATGATGTAGAGTGTGCCTAAGGAGAGTCACATGGGGAGAAGACACTCTCTCAGGCTTTCACAGAGAGCACATTGGCCAAGCAATGGCCGTGACTCATCCACATGGCTGACACTGACAAAGGTTCTACAATCTGAGGTACAGGATCTCAGCAAAAATCCTGAGGGCATTTCACTGACCTTCTCAGACCAAAAAGCTACAACTCTTGTTGCACAGGTCCTGCTTTACCTTGGTCTTAACCATCCAGTAGAAAAGTATGAAGATGAAATATAGGAAGTAAAGCCATGTTGTTATGGTGAGCTGTGGGGGACTCAGGTCAATAATTTCTGACATTGCCAGTTAAACAGAAGACCCAATGCTATTATGGGCTACTGGACTCTTAGAATATTTTGCTGAGTTTACACACCTATAATATTCAACAACGGAACTTAAAAAAATTGGGGTATAACTATGAATGTCCATTTTGTATCTGTGTATTGAAAGTGGTTGGGATAGATATATAGTTGCATTCTCTTAATGAATAGAATGATTTTTTCTAATGGTGTTTGTAAGTAGGATCACAAGTCTGCATCTTGTACAGCAATTAACCACTAAGAAGAATATATGCAGTGTATTATTTGTTGAAACTGTACTTTCGATTTGATTTGAAACTGTCTCATTGCTATATGTTTATCAATAAAACTTTGAAAAGAAAAAAAAGGGGCTGGAGAGATGGCTCAGTGGTCTAAAGCACCTACTTAGAACAAACTTGGCAAAGCACAGGGACTGTGGTTCAATCCCCCAGCACCACATGCCAGCCAGCCCGCCCCCTGGTGGGCTGAGCTAGCCACACACACACACATACACACACACACACACACAATAAATAAATGTAAAAAAAGAAAAAAAAAAAAGAGAAGTGCATGTTACTTACGTAATTTAAACCACCTGAAATTCCCTTTAACTCTTCCTGACTGTAAGTGGGCCTCGGGAACCATGCAGCAGGATTTTATTTCCATCACCGCACACAAACCAGAGTGAGCAGTGAATACACGCCCGAGCGCCCCTGCTGCTGCACTGGTGACCCGTAACTGCAGCAGAAGGAGCAGAAGATGTAGGTCTTAACTTCTGACTAGCTGGACACACAGTACCATCAAGAGATACACACAGATGATGTGTTTTCATTCTTTTGATAGTGCTAGAGATCAAACCTGGGCCCTCACACGCTCCAGGAAGAGCCCTACCTCTGGGCTACAGCCCCAGCCTAGCTCAACTGTTAACTCTAGGTGAGTAAAAGTAGCAATTTCTCACTGATTCTGCTTGAAATCGGTGCACCCATTACCTTCTCCAGGCTTGGGGTCCCAGCCCAGTCTCTCCCCTATAGGTGAAAAGACATCTTTCACAAACTCCTGGATTTCCTCATAGAAGTCTGTGTGGGACAAGAGAGTTGAGAGAATCCCCAGGTTACAGCTCAGGTCGCTCCATACAGTATAATTGGGCTCATTCACAAAAGCCTCCATGACTTTTAGAACCTCTACAGTGCTAATGATTCCAGCTCGAGCCTGGGATAGGAAAAAACACAAATTAACCTCATCTTCAAACAAAACAAACCAAGCAAGCATGTATTTTCAGCATTATCTACCACTAGCAACTTTTCTGGTTTAAAGAAATGAGACAACAAATATACTAAGTTCTGAAGAAGGCTATTAAAATAAAAAACCCTATTATGACATCACTGCTTATTTCTTTGCTATTTATAAAATAACTTAAAAGAATTACACTATATTCCCATAATTTGGGAACAACAAGCCAGTTAACTTTTTACTCCTACTCAGTTTCCAGGGCCTTGACTTTACTTTTGTTTTAGAAGTTTTCATACTTTCAGAGAGGCTGCAAAAATAGTTGAGGTTTTGCTTCTTGACAGAAGCTCTTTCAAAGACGGGTGCGCAAACATGTCAACTTGAGCTCACCCTCACTCATTTCTAAGAGGGCAAACTACAAGGCACCACACATTCGGAGGCCTTTCAGCACTGAGTTTGGAGGAAGAACTGCTGCTGCGGCAGCCAACCACACAGGCAGCACACTCTCCCGGGACAGGTCTCTCTGGACAAGGAGCTCACCAGAGGTGAGGCTGGGTGCCCCAACGCGCGTTTACACGGAGGAGGGACCTAACACCAGTGACTGCACAGGGCAGGGAGAATTTCAAATCCAATTTAAAGTTAAACTAGGGGGTACGTAACAATTTCATCATAATCAAAGACATTCAGGGACCAGAGAAATAACTCAGTGGCACAGCTAGCCTATTTTGGAGTTGTAACAACAACAACAAAAATTGTGATTTTTGGAGACAGCATTTCACTACACAGTTCAGGCTGGCCTTGAACTCACTTTGTAGCCCAGGCTGGCCTCAAGCTTGCAGCAAGCCTCCTGCCTCAACCTCCCAAGTGCTGGGATTACAAGTGTGTGCCACTCTTCCCAGCAATGATAAATAATAGTAATCACTCTTTAAATTCTTTCTGAAATGAAGCCAAATATAACTATTAATTTTGAGGCTAATGTACTCCTATAATTTTGTTAAGAGCTCCTAAAATTTGAGTAATAACAAAATGTTAAAAAATTTTAGCTTTGGGGCCAGGGAGATAACTCAGTGGAATAAGTGCTTGCCTGGCAAGTGCAAGGTCCTGAGTTCGATCCCTGGTACCACCAAAAAAATAAATAAATAAATAAAATAAAAAATTCTAGCTTTGCCAGCAGAGTACAACTATTACTTTAGAGAAGCATAAAATCAGTCTGAATGACTTTTTAAAAATGTATCAGTAGGGAATATTTCTTGACAGAAAGAACCATATTCTTCTAATTAGGCTTCAGACACTCCGGGAAAAACAAGATTCTTTAATCAACAAAATCCATCAGATTACAGCAGCAGGAGAGGCTCACCAAGGAGAAGAGGTCATTCTGTAATCCCAGTCGGTCCACAGGGGGCAGAGAAAGGTCTCGAATGCCTGGTAACAAACTTTCCAGCATGGCAGAGCTGTATTGGGTCCGATAGAACCCAACTGTTCCCAGGTTTAACTGAAAAAAGACATCCAAGAGGCACTCTTACATACTTCCACTTTGTTTTTTAAATCAGCCGTTCATACATGTAAAACAAACTCTGGTTTTAGGTACGTCTAGATAAAAACTATTAGGGACTGGGGAGATGGCTCAGTGGAATAAGCGCTTCCCGGACAAGTGCAAGGGCCTGAGTTCAATCCCCAGTTCCGCCACACACACACACCAACAACAAAAAGATGAAAACAACAAAGCCCACTATGCTAATAGTACAAAGAGCACATAAATACAGAAACCATCTGCCTACAATATAAGCAGAGAAAAAGAAAGCAGAAACTCGCAATAATGGGGTCAAGGAGAGGGACCCTAAGAAGAAGGTGGGCGAAGGTGAACATGCAGCTAGGCTCCCTCACTAGGCTCGGTGAGCAGCATGGGAGACAGACTGGGCTGAATGGCTTCACCCACTTAGCCCAGAGCCCCAGTAGAGTAACAGTTTTCAGATCCTTAATTTTAACCTTCGGGGAAGATCATATCCTTCTAATTATGTCCCAGACACTCCAGGAAAAACAAGATCCTTTAAAGCAACAAACGCCATCCGATTACTTGAGTAAAGATGCAGTGTGGGCAATTTCATTGAGTTCTGGGGTGAGGTGAATCACTGATTGCAATTACTCCCCACAGGTTATTTACAGAGAAGCAAAAAGTAGTTTCAAAACCATTTCCATTTACATATACACATATATATGTTTAATGGCAAAGAAGATATAAATATTTTCCTATTTATGTATGGTTACTTCCATACATAAAACCATTGAGGGCCAGTGAGATAGCTCCGCAGACTAAGTGCCTGCTTAGGCAAGCACAGGAACTGGGGTTCAATCTCCAGCACATGCCATGCCGGCCCTGCTCCCCCGGTGCGCTGACCCAGCAACCGAGACCAGGCGTGGCGGCACATGCAGGAGGATCACTAAGAGTCTGAACTAAGCAGAGAGACCCTGTACCAAACACGCAAAATTTAAAAAATAAAAATACCCAAAAACATTGCACAATTCTATTATTTGATTGATCCCTGTAACTTTAAGCACAGGACACAACATTTTTTTTTTTGGTCTTTTTTGTAGCCCAGGCTGGTCTCAAAACTCTCAATGATTCTTCTGCCTCAGCCTCCCAAATGCTAGGATTATAAGAGTGTGCCACTATGCCTAGATTAGGCACAATACTTTTACTTAATTACAATAGTAGTGAACTTTTTTTTTTTTTTTTTTGTATTTAGTATAGGGTCTAGAGGGTCTCACCACATAGACTGGACTCATAGTGATCCTCCTGTGTTCAGCCTCCCAAGAGCTGGGATTACTGGCACGCACCACCACACCACTGTCAATCGTTGTCTTAGCGCGCCCAGCGGAGAGGCCAGAACAGCACACAAGGGATCCAACCCCGGCCTCTGCACTGAGCTATTTGGCCAACCCACAACTTTTTTTTTTCTTTCCTTTACTATTAAGAAACTTTCCTTGCTAGATGTGGTAGTGTATACCTCTAATCCCAACACTTGGGAGGCTGAAAAACAGAAGAATCACTACGAGTCCGAGTCTGATCTACGTAGCGAGACCCTGTAGACCATGTCCTAAATACAGAAGGAAAAAAAAATGAAAAGAAAGATACAGAGTCCAGACCCTTAGGTACTTTGGGAAATGGATTTTAAACACTAGCTAAAGGATTTCACATTTCAGTGACACAAGCTGAAGATTATATGTCTGAGTCTCTTGATTACAGCCAGGCCTGTATGATGACAGCGCATCTTGAAGGCTAGCGTGTTATTACAATGAGAAGGCAGTTGGAAGTTGCAAGACTACAAATGTCTCGGTTAATGTGACTTTATATGCAGCCTGCTATTTTCTTTTCCGCTTCAGCCCTACCCCTTTTTGTCTGCTTACCTAACACTGTCTGGACAGCATTATTTGAAAACTGGCTTTAAATTTCACAAAAAGTTAAGAGATTTGTTTTCTTTATTATTATGTTTTTTGGTCTTTTTGAGACAGGGTCTTGCTATGCAGCTCAGGCTGGCCTTGAACTCGCAATGATCCTTCTGCCTCAGCCTCTAGAGTGCTTGGATTACAGGCATGTATCACCACATTTTCTTTTTTTTGTTTTATTTTTTTAACTTTGAGGTAGGGTCTTGCTGTGTAGCCAAAGCCTCCAACTCAAACTTACCCTCCTACTTCAGCTACCTGAATGCCAGGATGACAGAAATGTGTTTTCCTTGAAAGTCCTAGTCTAGATCAAAGCAGCACACAAAGAGACAGTCATAAAAATCTAGAGCAGTGGAAGAAATCAAGTCAGGAGAGATAAAATGACTGCGGCATTTCTGGACTCACCTTCACCCACTGGTCCGGTGTGACGTTGCTCAGAACCACGCTCATCTCTGGCTTATCCATCAGGAGTTTCAGTTTGGCCTGGCCGGGAGCTTCGCTAGTGGAGACTGTGATAGGAACCATCCACTGAGGACAGTCTTCTCCTAAACAAGAGAGAACGAACGGAGAGAGGCCTGACGGGAGAGCCCTGAGCTCAACAGCCAAGCCAGCAGCTCATCCTCCTGCCTGCTGCCACAGGAACCCTTCCAGGCAGCCTGAACAGAAGCAGTGCAAAGAGACAATTACTAACAAGATCACAGTAGCTTAAAAAAGTTAACCCACTCGCAGAGTCCCTAGTACAGTGGCTGAAACAATTTTCACATGTAGTCCATAGTAGGTACACAGACTGCCAAACATTCAGGGTTGATTTTGTGCACGTACGTGTATGTGGTCTTGGGGAGCAAACCCAGAGCCTTGGCATTCAGCTACGTATGCACTCCTTTTAAAAAATATTTTATTTTGAGACAGGGTCTTGGGCCGGCCAGGTAGCTCAGCAGACTAAAGCGCCTGCTGAGGCAGAGTGCAGCAGCCGGGGTTTGCTCTGGAGTGGGGTGCTGGGCCTGCCGGGCCCGTCCCCGGGATGCACTGAGATGGTGACTGAGACTGGGCGTGGGGGCGCACGCCTGTAATCCCAGCATGTGGGAGGCTGAAAACAGGAGTCACTACAAGGCAGTGAGACCCTGTAGACCCTGTACTAAGTACATTAGAGAGAGAGAGAGAGAGAGAGAGAGAGAGAGAGAGAGACAGAGAGAGACAGAGAGAGACAGAGAGAGACAGAGACAGGGTCTCCCTGAGTTGCCTAGTTTGGGCTCAAACTTGGACTCATCCTGCCTCAGTCTCTCAGAGTGCTGGGTGCAGGCAGGCGCCACTGCACTAGGCCCCGAAAGGTTCACACCTGACAAGCAGGGCATACCAAGACTACTGCATTCCAGCTCTGAGAAATAAGCTCTTAATGACCAGGCACACACATGGCAAAAATATACCTGAGAGCTCAGACGACAAGAGAGACACTGCACTGGAAAGCCAAACAAAATGGAGTCCCTGCCCAGTGCCCTAATAGGAGTACACAACTATTACACAGATCTACATTTATCACTAACATATTTAATGTTCTTTTTAATTTTATTTATTTATTTGTGTGTGTGTGTGGCCAGCTCAGCCCACCAGGGGGCAGGGCGGGCTGGAATGTGGTGCTGGGGGATCGAACCGCGGCCTCTGTGCCTTGCCAAGCTCGTAGTAAGTAGGTGCTTTAGACCACTAAGCCATCTCACCAGCCCCAACATATTTAATGTTCTAAAGCCTGATTATCAAGCTAACCCACAGGTTAAACCCTCTCTCCTCACTAATCTATTCCAGATGTTTTGATTTTTTAAAATATGGTCTTGCTATGTAGTCCACGCTGGGCTTGAACGCAGAGCTATACTCCTGCCTCAGCCTCCCAAGTGCTGAGATTACAGGTGTGCACCACCATACACAGATTTTCTTCTTTTTTTTTTTTTTTTTGAGACAGGGTCTCATGACGCAGTTCAGGCTGCTGTTGAACTCATACACCGCACCCAACCATGCTCCTGCCTCAGCCTCCTGAGTGCTAACGTTACAGAGCGGATGCAGCCCTTGCCTCTCCCCTGCCTGCTCTCCCTCTGTCTCTCTCGCATGCATTTGTACATGGCCTCACTCCACAGCTCACGCCCAGTCGTGGTGGCCAGCTCAGTGTGCCTGGGTAGTGCCCTTAAGCCCTGGGCTTGCCGAAGCAGGTGCTGAGTCTGCTGAGCCATCTCACAGGCCCATGATGAGAAGCATTTTGAGTGGGATTAATGATACTGTCTTTTACTGTAATAAATTTTTAAAAAGAAAATCTAAATGTCCATTATGTGTTTCTATCATACCCCATATCCTTCTTCTGTTAAGAAGGAAAAAAATAAAATAAAAAATAATAATAAAAATTAAAAAATACATACATACATATATATAGTTTTAAAGAAAAAGAAAGGAACACAGAAGTACTTTACTTTTTCAATTAAACTTTATTTTCCTGGGTGGAATTTTACATGTAAAGGAGTCTAATGACACCTATTTGAAAAAGTGGGAGTTAAGAGCATAGACTCATGGAGTTCACCTGTGTACGTTTGAGTTCCCACATTTCTTTTTTTTTTCCACACTTCTAATTTACTAAATAGATGGCTGGGCAATTTAAGTAACCTAGCTGTCCCGCAGCTCTTGCTTTTCTTTTCTTTCGTTTTGGTTTGAGACAGGGTCTGGCTCTTTAATTCAGGCTGGCCTTGAACTCAAGACAATCCTCCTGCCTTAGCCTCCCAGAGGGCTGGGATTACAGCACAGGTGTGAGCTACATGCCTGGCCACCCAGCTCAGCTCTTATTTTCTATAAAACAGAAATAATACAAGGAGCCTCAGAATACAAAGTGAGAGTGAGTTCCGGGGCTTAGCACAATGATCAGCACTTACTATAGTAAGTCTAATAACCAATGGGTTCCATTCATTTACTTATTCAGCCCAAAAACTTAAAAAGAATTTGCCACCACAAAAACACAGTAAGGGGGCCAGGGAGATGGCTCAGTAGAATAAGTGCTTGCCTGGCAAGTGCAAGGGCCTGAGTTCAATCCCTGGTTCCAAAACAAAACAAAACAAAACAAAACAAAACAAAACAAAACAAAACAAAACAAAACAAAACAAAACAAAACAGTAAGTCCCCTTAAGCATCAGGGCATTACTTTTTGGCTGTTTCAATTCCTCATTCATTATAGCCTCCAAAAATACAGACATGAAACTCTCAAACTCTGAACACTACAAATGTATTGTGCATCTCCTTTTTCTTTTTTTTTTCCTTTCTTTTTTTGAGACAGGGTCTTACTATGCAGCTCAGGCTGGCCTTGAGCTCACTTTGTAGCCCAGACTGGTCTCAAATTCACAACAATTCTCCTGCCTCTTCCTCCAGAGAGCTGGTATTACAGGCATGTACCACCACCCCCAGCTCCATCTCCACTTTTTGATTTCTAAAATTTCATTTTTATTCTTTTACCATCTCTTTTTAGTTGAATTTATTAAACCTATAAAAATGGTTATTTTTTCCCATCAATTGTACGTTACCAAATTCATCAAGCAGCCCCACTCCCAGCCATTTGCTTACCAGCATACGGTCCACTGGCACAGAACTTCCTTTGGGACAACCTCAGCAATCTGTCATCTTCTACCTAAAGAAGTAAAACATTTTCCTTGGTGGGGACACTTCTGCGGCAAAGTAGACGAAGGGGCACGTACAACCAAACGTCTTACAATGCCCCACATGCAATGATGACCAAGGAGGTGATGCTGCCAAAGGGGGAAATGCCACTATTTTTTAACTCAGTCCTCAAAATAAAAATAGTCCACATAAAAGGTGTAGTTTTTTTTTTTTTGAGATAGGATCTCATTATGTAGTTCAAGTTTGCTTTGTAGCTCATGCTAGCCTCAAAATCACAGCGCTCCTCCTGCCTCAGCCCACGCTCAGCCAATGTATAGTTGTACGAAATTACAATACAAACCTTTAGAAGGCATATGTACCCAGATGAAGATAATTTTCTTAAAGAAAAGCATTAGTTTTTAAAGATACACATGACAGAAAAGCAAGCTCTTTATAGAGAAAGAGTACATCTTTAGTGTTTTGACTATGAGCCTGGGCTATACATTGAGTTCATGCCAGCCTGAACTACATAGCAAGATCCTGTCTCAAGAGTGAAAGACAGACAGATAGACAGAGGGGCTGGGGAGATAGCTCAGTGGCATAGGCACTTGCCTGGCAAGCGCAAGGGTCTGAGTTCAATCCCCAGTTCCACCAAAAAAAAAAAAAAAAAAAAGTCACCAACAGAAAGACAGACATGGGGGACTGGGGAGATGGCTCAGTGGAATATGCGCTTTCCGGGCAAGCGTAAGGACTTGAGTTCAATCCCTGGTTCCGCAAAAAAAAAAGAAAAAGAAAGACACACATGTCTTGGGAAGGGCTTCCCACACACTTTGAAAGTACAAAGTCAACTATAATATTTCAAGTACCAAAAAAAGCAAGTCTGCTAACTTACATTGCCACACCAAGAAAACCCCTCTAAAATAAACATGGTTTTATAGACAATGCAGGGTCACAGGAAAAAGAGCTACGAATCCTTTTAAAAATGAAAAGCAGGGCCAGG